TGGTGTCAATTCCCCCAGTAGTTTTTGAGTTCTGATGGTATCACAAACGAACATTACATTTTTATTTATATATTTTACCAGCACCTTGAATTTGGCTTGGCAACTTATCGGCAGCCAATGAAGCTGTTTCAATAGGGGCATTGTATGCTCCCTATAGTTTGCTCCAGTAAGGAGCCTGGCTGCTGCCCGTTGTACTAATTGGAGCTTCCGGGCAGTCTTCAAGGGCAGCCCCATGTAGAGCGCATTGCAATAGTCCAATCTGGATGTAACCAACACAATAATACCTTGACTTTACAGGGTTTTGGAGCAGAGCCTGTTCATGACTGTGGGATAGAACAGAACAGAAGTTTTCCTTGAGTCCCGTTGGCTGCTTCATTGGACAGTGTTTCCAAAATGTTCAAGCTGGAGACCGCTTGGCTGGAAGCAGAAGGAGAATGTGACAGCATTTGTGCTGAGAGCAGTGGGGAATTCTGGGAAACAACTACGCAGGCGTTCCTGAATGCGCACATAGAGCGCCAGCGCTTCAGGCATTCCTCCTTCCGAGAGGGCGAGGGACCCAGAGAGGTTTGCAGCCGCCTCCACTCTCTCTGCCGCCAGTGGCTGAAGCCAGAGCAACACACCAAGGCGGAGATGCTGGACCTGGTGATCCTGGAGCAGTTCCTGAGCATCCTGCCCCCAGAGATGGGGAGCTGGGTCCGAGAGTGTGGGGCAGAGACCTCTTCCCAGGCGGTGGCCCTGGCGGAAGGCTTCCTCCTGAGTCGGGCAGAGGACGAGAAGCAGGAAGGACAGGTGAGAGCATTGCCTCTTGGTGTCTCTAAAGTAGAGATCAATAAGTGGATTGATTGAGTGTATATCCTGCCTTTCTAACAAGAGACTGTGTGTGTGTGTGTGGACACAAACACTTTTTGTCCAGTTTCTGCCCCTCTTCTAACTTCTGTCTTAATCCTTCCCTATTCTAGCCTAAAAATTATTATTATTATTATTATTATTAGTTATTATTATATGATTGTTTGAATTCTTTTTCAGATGTTTGTGTATGGATGTGTAATTTTCTTCTTCTCCATTTTCTCCCTGCTTTGTCAGTCAAAAGATCTCTGTGTGGAAGTTCAGTCTGTTCTCCGTGCATCAGAGGACTCAGTGTCAATCTGCACTCAGATTCCCGAGTGGAAGGAGATAAAGCAAGAGGGAGATGAAAGTGCTGCCTTCCTGGGTAAGAACAAACTCTGTTGTGCTGTTCTTAACTATGTTTGCTGAAAACAAATAACTGAAGAATGACACATAAAGTACAAGCCTCAATGATACTCTGTTTACTCCCTCTGGAGTTTACTCGTTCAGTCAGAGTTTTCAAATAGCTGTATCCAAAATTTTAGAGGGATATCCTCTATCTTTGAATTGTCCCTTAAAGGTACATATTTCTAATTCCAAATCCTTCGGGGAGCTGGTATTGCATTTTAATCTCATGCAGGGGCAACTGAAGCAATAGGCAAGATATGCATTAGCATGTAGCGCGAATCCCCAAGGGGCGTTCTTGAGGTGCCCCCGGTATGGGCCTTCTGACATTCCAGCTGGAGCAAAGCAAAGGCATCCCTGGCTGGGATGTCCCCTTTGCCCTGCAGGCCCCACGCCCCCAAGGCCCCCACCTGCATGTGGCTCGGAAGCCAGGAGGAAGAAGGAGGCAGGAGGAGGCCCCCAGTGCAGAGCCCATCATCCTCCACCGCCTTGCCACGTTGACCCAGGCTCATCCTGGACTGCAGGATGCGGCAAATGGGAGGAAAGAAAAGCAAAGCGAAGAGGGGGAAAGCTGCACCTCTGCACTGCTTGAAGGGGTGGCTCCTCTTTCTCTTCCTTTCTTCCTTCCTTCCCTTCTTCCAGGCTGAGGCTCCTTCTCACCCCGCCACAACTGCAACGTGCAGACACCCTGTGACGGACCTGAAATAAAGCAGACCTGCCTTGGGAGGGAGGGAAAAAGAGGAGGAGGAAGGGCCCCTCAATAATACTAATTATAATAAGAGGCAAAAGAAGATACTCCCTTTGCCGCCACCTGGACAAAGAGGAGCCTAGAAGAGTTGGAAAGGGGTCCCTCAAATGTCATCCAGTTCAGCCCCTTTCTGTCAAGCAGGGAGGGAGGAAGAGAGAAAAGAAAGAAGAAAAGAGGTGTAAAAGGAAACAAGGAAGGAAGGAGAGAGCGAGAGAAGAATGGAGAGAAGAAGAGAGAGAGAGAGAGAGAAGGAAGGAAAAATGGAAGAAGGAGAGAAAGAAGGAAGAAAAAAGAAGGAAGGAAAGAGAGGGAAGAAGAGAAGGAAGAAAGGAAAGAGAGAAGGAACTAAAGAAGGAAAGAAAGAGAGGGGAAAGAAAGAAAAAAGGAAGGAAAGAGAGAGAGGAAAGAAAATTAAGGAAGGAAAGAGAAAGAAGGAAAGGTGCCCCTGCACACACACAGCAGGGGCGCCTTTCCTTCTTTCTCTTTCCATATGATTGGTTTGTGGGGGGCACCAAAATACTGTTTGCTAACACTGGAAAATTACCTGATCTCACGAGTCTATTATGTTAGACTCATGAGATCACTTATTTAGGAACTTATTGAGACTAACATGCTTATGTGAAGATACCGTAGAGTCCTGAAGAAGGGAAAGTCTCCCGAAATGAGGTATTTCAATCTGGGGACCCTTGTCGACGTTATTTTACTTTCCCAAGGACAGTTCAAGTGTTTAGTTTCTTGCGTCAGAGATTCTGCAATTTTCCCCCCAATATTTACCAGCTGTTTAAAAGATTACATGGAAGAGTGAAGATAAAAACTCTGTCTGCACGAGCAAACTCCGCAACGAGGAAGAATCATATCATTGGGACTTGTACCTTGTGGATGTTATTTTCTTAAGGACATTTCATTTCATTTAGTTTGTTGTTTCAAAAACATCATTTATATCCTTTTTATATCTAACAGTCACTTATTATATTATACGTAAGAGTGAAGTTAAAACTCTGACTAAATGAGTAAACTCCGGAGGGAGTAAACAGAGTATCATTGGGGCTTGTACCCAGGGCCGGCCCTAGGTAATTTTCAAGTGGAAGCAAACAGTATTTTGGTGCTTCAAAAACCAATCGCTGAAAAAATTATTATATTATTATTATATTATCATTAATAATAATGTGAGGAGAGCAGGAATCAAATTCCCGAACTTAAAATAACAGATTATACCTGCAAACATAGTTAAAAGCCTTCGACAATACATAGTTAAGAACAGCACAGCACGGTTGTTTATAACGGTTGACAACTTTCGTTTTGCTATTTGTTCTAGATATCTGTGTTCCTTGGATAAGAACAAACCCTCTTTGGCATAATCACCCTTGTGTTTTGCACATCCATAAGTTCCCTTTCTGGAAGGAGTACAACCTTTTTTGTCTGGTGCAGTACATTCAACCCAAAGGGGCCCCTGGTGGCACAGTGGGTTAAAATGCTGAGCTTCTGAACTTGCTGACCAAAAGGTCTCAGGTTCAAATCCTGGGAGTGCCGTGCGCTCGTGCTATTAACTCCTGCTTCTGCCAACCTAGCAGTTTGGAAACATGCAAATGGGAGTAGATCAATAGGTATTGCTCCAGTGGGAAGGTAACAGCACTCCATCCAGTCATGCTGGCCACATGACCTTGGAGGTGTCTATGGACAACATTGGCTCTTCGGCTTAGAAATGGAGATGAGAATGAACCCCCAGAGTCAGACACAACTGGACTAATGTCGGGGAAACCTTTACCTTTTTACGTGCAATATATTCATGATCATTTTGACATTTATTTATCATGTCAGAAGCAAATTGAGGGCACAGTTGTAATGTATTTAAAAACACAAACAAAGTTTAAGAACTTGGCGTTAAACTAAATGTCCTTTGACCAGTATCTGTCCACTTGGAGAGCCTCTGGTGTTGCTATAAGAAGGTCCTCCATTGTGCATGTGGTAGGATTCAGGCTGCATTGTAGTTGGTGGTCATAGTTTGCTCTTCTCCACACTCGCATGTTGGGGACTCCATTTTGTAGCCCCATTTCTTAGGGTTGGCTCTGCATCTCATGGTAGCTTCATGGTGGTCTTCAGGTTCGTGGATTTTCCAGCCTTGGTTGAGTCATGCCCTATAGATTTTACTAAATGCAAAAGTGCTACTATTTTCAATATGTTATTTTGCGCTGCTTATTTTATTGCGTTACTCTATGTATTTTATTGTGATGTAATTTTATGTTGCTTTGTATTTTATTTTGTTGTATTGTATTTTCGGGCTTGGCCTCATGTGAGCCGCCTCAAGTCCTCTTTGGGGAGATGGAGGCGGGGTATAAATAAAGATTATTATTATTATTATTATTATTATTATTATTATTATTCAAAACAGTATATTTCTCTAGAGTTTCTTTTTAGGGCTGTAATTGAGCCCCTGAAACAAGCCTGTATGATCAGTTTCCCTCCCACTTTGGTCTTTTCGACAGGGCCTGGAATGGTGCCACAGACAAGTCTTCATTCCTCTCTTCCTCTTTGCAATGAAGCAGAAACAATTGAGGTAAGAAGAAGGGAGTGAAGGAAGGAGGTGGATTGGGACATCCTCAAAAATTATTTCCTGTAGGGCAGTGGTTCTCAACCTGTGGGTCCCCAGATGTTTTGGCCTTCAACTCCCAGAAATCCTAACAGCTTAAGTGAAGGAGACACGAAAATGGAGGGGAGAAGGAGTAATGATGAGTAGGTATGAAGTGAGGGTCATGCGCGGTATGGAGAGGTGGAGGAATACAGGAGATAAAGGGAGGATAATTAGAGAATTATGGAATTAGTGAAGAAGATGTGGAAGATGTGGGCTTTAGTATAAGTATTGAATCTTGGAAAAATTGAGTAAATGCAAGGCTCTGCCGTATTCAGAAGATTTACAAAACAATTAACTTTGTTGAAAATTTAATAAATAAAGTGAAAAAGTAGGAGAAAGTAAGTGCTGTCTTAATTAAATTGTTTAACTTAAACTGGGAATTTGTTTGGTTCATCTCTACCTGAATACAGCAGAGCCTTGGCAATGTGACGTCGTCCTTCTCTGGACACATTCCAGCTTGTCAATATCTCCCTTCAGTTGTGGTGCCCAGAACTGGGCACAGTATGATTCCAGGTGTGGTCTAACCAAGGCAGAATAGAGCATGGGAAGCATGACTTCCCTGGATCTAGACACTAGACTCCTATGTATGCAGGCCAAAATCCCGTTGGCTTTTTTAGCTGCAGCATCACATTGTTTAACTTGTTGTCCACAAGGACTAATATGACATATTAGTAATATAATACAATATGCAACTGGGCTCCCTGGAAAATCTATTAGGAGTGATCACCCCAGATTATTCTCTCTCTCTCTCTCTGTCTCTCACTCACCCCCCCCCCCCCCGTGAGTGTGTGTGTGTGTGTGTGTGAGAGTCCCAGCCAGGCAGGCTAGTGTCTGCATATCTGAAGCTAAGCTCTCTTTAGACGCTCTCTCCCAGCACACAAACAACCCCTAGCCTAAGTCAATTGCAAGATGGTGACCTGCAACCTAATGCGGTGTATGTTCTCTTCTTGTGAATGATTGGGGCTCAGGGTTTTTTGTGCACTGGGAGAGGCATATAGCAGTAATCAAACTCTATGCCTCTCTCATTCAAGTGGTAAGAGTGTCATTCGTGGTATTTATTTATTTATTTGCAGTATTTATATTCCGCCTTTCTCACCCCAAAGAAGACTCAGGGCAGATCACAATGCACACATACACGGCAAACATTCAATGCTATTTTTAGACATACAAGACAATTGGATATGGGATCTTCTACATTGGAGCAGAAAAATAGTGAACACAGGGAGAGAGAACTGGAGGTTGGGGGAGAGAAATAAAAAGGAGGGAGCAATTCTAAAATGGGTGGGAGCAAGGTAAAGTTGGAGCAAGGTAAAGAAGGAGACAGAATAAAAAATAACAGGTTGGACTGAGGAACATGTCGCCTCTGGAGCATACATTGTTCACCTTTCCCTTAAAGGCTCCAGGCAGTCAAACAGTGTCCATCTTTACCGAACAAGGGTTGGGGAGAGGACAGCAGTTATATCTTCTTTTCTTCCATATCTATGTTGTTTTGAGGATAATTTCAATCTCCTTCTTATAATATATACTGACTCCATATCACTCACACTGAAGAATGATTGTTTCTGTCCTCCTTCTTCACAGCAGATAACTGGAACACCAAACACAGGAAGCATTTGGGACACAATGTGGGCCTTCCTAGACACCAGGAATCCTACAGAGAAGATGGAGGTTCTGTCAGAGAAAGGCCTTACAAATGTGATGTATGTGGGCAGTGTTTTACCCAAAATATGGGACTTGTGCTTCACAAGACACTCAGTGCTGGGAAAAGCCATTGTAAATGGAAAGTATCAGCAAAATGTATTGCTGATTACAAACTGCCAGATCTGAGCCAAGAAGAAATCTTTGAAGGAACTGAGGATTTCGCAATCCAGGACTGTAGGAAATCTTTTATCCAGAGTTCACACTTGGTGAGCCACAGAAGACTCCACACAGGAGAGAAGCCATACCAATGCCAGGAGTGTGGGAAATGTTTTGCTGTGAGTTCAGACTTGGTGAGCCACAAAAGATTCCACACAGGAGAGAAGGCATACAAATGCCAAGAGTGTGGGAAATGCTTTGCTCGCAGTTCAAACTTGTCGAGCCACAAAACACTCCACACAGGAGAGAAGCCATACCAATGCCAAGAGTGTGGGGTTTCTTTTGTTCGCAGTTCACACTTGTTAAGCCACAAAACACTCCACACAGGAGAGAAGCCATACCAATGCCAAGAGTGTGGGAAATCTTTTGCTCGCAGTTCACACTTGTTGAGCCACAAAAGACTCCACACAGGAGAGAAGCCATACCAATGCAAGGAATGTGGGAAATGTTTTGCTCGCAGTTCAAACTTGTTGAGCCACAAAAGACTCCACACAGGAGAGAAGCCATACCAATGCCAGGAGTGTGGGAAATGTTTTGCTTCCAGTTCTGGGAGACACAAAAGACTCCACACAGGAGAGAAGCCATACCAATGCCAGGAGTGTGGGAAATGTTTTGCTTCCAGTTCACACTTCTTGACACACAAACCTCCACACAGGAGAAACGCCATACCAATGCCAGGAGTGTGGGAAATGTTTTGCGTACAGTTCAGCCTTGGTGAGCCATAAAAGACTCCACACAGAAGAGAAGCCATACCAATGCCAGGAGTGTGGGAAATGTTTTGCTTCTACTTCAGCTTTGGTTAACCACAAAAGACTCCACACAGGGGAGAAGCCATACCAATGCCAGGAGTGTGGGAAATGTTTTGGTTTCAGTTCAGCCTTGGTGAGTCACAAAAGACTCCACACAGGGGAGAAGCCATACCAATGCCAAGAATGTGGGAAATGTTTTAGAGAGAGTTCTGCCTTGGTGAAGCACAAAAGACTCCACACAGGAGAGAAGCCATACCAATGCCAGGAATGTGGGAAATGTTTTGCTCAGAGTTCAGTCTTGGTGAGTCACAAAAGACTCCACACAGGAGAGAAGCCATACAAATGCCAGGAGTGTGGGAGATATTTTGCTCACAGTTCAGACTTGGTGAAGCACAAAAGGCTTCACACAGGAGAGAAGCCATACCAATGCCAGGAGTGTGGGAAATGTTTTGCTTACAGTTCAGCCTTGGTGAAACACAAGAGACTCCACGCAGGAGAGAAGCCATACTAATGCCAGAATTGTGGAAAATGTTTTGCTGACAGTTCACAATTGGAAGAACATCTTGTATGCATCAGACTCTTTGAATTCAGGCAGGGAACAGAGGAATGAAATAGCCTTTGAAATCAGTCCTTAAATATGCCTCAAGGGTCCGGCTTCAAGATAGTTGGCAGCCGGCCATTTTTTCTTCCCTGTCCAAAGAGAGAACAGAATGGCAGTTAGAACTCTTGGCCTCAGCAGCCAACCAGAAGCCTGTCCCCTGGCACACTCAGCCAATCGGCTGCTGACGCATCTCTCTCCAGCCAGCCCACCATTTCAAATCCTAACACTCTGGGCCCATAAGCCTCCTGGGACGGAGCATTTCAATAGGTCCTCCAGCCCTGGGCAGGTGAGGGGCGCAGGAAGCCTAAGCCTGGACGGAGGATGATCGGTCCACGGCAAGAGGAATAAAGGCGGTTCCTCCACACGGCCATCTTCCTTCCTTCCCTGACAGAAATCCAAGTCCAATGTCTGTCCTGCCCTGTGGGTTGGGCCAGAAACCACTTTGAACAGCTCCAGAGTTGACGTGGTAGCCATGAAGTCTTGAGCAGCTCACGACAGGGTGGCCTCTGCATGGACGTTGAAGTCCCCCAGCACTATAAGCCGCTGAGCAGAAAATGTGGAATTCAGAGACACCCTTCTAACAGAACACTTGAATGAAGGTTCCCCGGCCTTGGCAGAGAGTGGCTTTGGAGAGCAGCCATTGCAGCAGGAGATATCTCAAAAGCCATGGCAATGAAGAGCTTGCTTGTGTGGGTGCTTTTGCTGTATCTACCACCCAAGTCTGTGTTCCTCCTCCTTGGGAAAAGGGAGCCCTGGTACCTGATCCTGCACTGAGACATTCATTTTCTGTTGTAGGAGGATGCTCTGTCGTGCTCTTCCCCCTGGACTGATGGATGGCCTTTAATGTTCAGTGGGGTTGGGGAGCAAGGGTTTGGCAGGGAGAGAACCCCTCTGACTAATTAATAATAATAAACTTTATTTGTACCCTGCTACCATCTCCCCAAGGGACTCGGTGCGGGACAATACTGAGCCCTGCGGGACCCCACAGGACAATGGCTATGGGGCTGAGCAGGAGTCCTCCAGCAACACCTGGGTACGACCCTCCAGGAAGGACTGGAGCCACTGCAGAACAGTACCTCCAAGACCCATAATAATAATAATAATAATCATCATCATCATCTTTATTTGTACCCTGCTACCATCTCCCCAAGGGACTCGGTGTGGCTTACATGAGGTGAAGTCCAAAGTACATCAAACAACATCAATAAACAATCAATAAAATACAAATCATATAAATCACATAAAAAATCAATAGTGACGTAAACAATTTTTAAAATGGCTGGGCCAAATGTAATAGATTAAAATTGAAAATATGCTGATACGTGAACAAGGTAAAATATAACTAGGATAGGATTTTTCGGAGAGAAATGAGGGAGCACAGTCCATCCTAAGTCAGTATTAAAGTGCATTGTGAGGACATATTGCTGAGAGTTCTCCTTATTCTGGGAAGGCACACTGGAACAACCACGTTTTCAGGCTCCTCCTAAAGACTGCCAACGTTGGGGCATGTCTAATGTCCCTGGGAAGTGAGTTCCAGAGTTGGGGGCCACCACTGAGAAGGCCCTCTCCCTCGTCCCCACCAATCGAGCCTGCGAAGGAGGTGGGAGTGTGAGCAGGGCCTCTCCAGATGATCGAAGAGATCGTGTGGGTTCGTACAAGAAATGCAGTCACGCAGGTAGGCAGGACCCAAACCCTTCAGGGCTTTGTAGGTAAGAACCTGCACATTGAATTGGGAC